CCCCCCCCCCCCCCCCCCACACACACACACTCACTTTTTTTCTCCCCCCAAATTGGATGTTGTAGATGATATTTTCTAGAAGTCTTTACCAAATTTCTTTTGAGTATTAGCATGTAAATGTGATTGGCGGAATCTAATTATTTTGATTAATCTTGTCGGGGCATCATACATATGACTATAGAATTGTTGCTGTTTCTCATTCATTTATATGATCGTAGTTTTTAATTTTCATTCCAAACATACTAATATAAATTTAAATCGTAGCTTGGGAAGCGTGGCTCAAACCTGACAGAGGAAGAACTTGAAACACATACTATATCTGCTTGGAAAGAGGGTAAAGCATATTTGAATGGTCAAGTGGATGGGCAAGGAAGATTCTTGTCAAGACAGTTCATTCACGTGAGTGTAATATGCGGCAAATTTGAATCTTTGCATAAAATCAGCTTTGGAACGAATTTGTTGCTACTGTGGTTTAATTTATTCCAGAATTTTGATTGGTAGTAATATCCAAAGAGAAACCAATTGATGTTTTCTTATGTCTTCATGTGAATGTAGCTTTTACATTTAACTCAAATTGGAATTGAGTATGACCGAACTTAGATTGCCAATTAACAAATTCTTGAAATAGATAACTCATTTTCTTAGGTGAAGTGTGATATCACGACATAAGGGTCTAACTTATGTCGAGATCATAGAACTATTGAACTCTCTTCTGGAGAGATCATAGAACTATTGAACTCAGTTACAAAGTATTGTAGGAAGTTCCTAATTTTTTTGTTTCAGAGGGTTGAAAAGCTTTAGCATTGTGTTTAAATGGCTCCTGACTTTGAATCATAACACTCTCCTGCGTTGAAATATTAATTTAAACTGAAATTGTTATCTCTGATGTCATGATCCATATACACCACCAGTTAATATCTGATGTCACATTATCTTATTGAAGGTGAATTTGCCCTGTTTACACTTATGTAATCTCTCTTTCAGTTGTTTTCTGAATTTTTTTGATTTAAAACATTTATGGGACCTTTACTAGTTAAAGACTGCTTTATTGACAAGGGTCTTTGCACTAACCTGTCAGAAAGTTGTGTTAACTCTGTTATTTTTGCTCATGTAGGCTGAACCATTCGATAATTTGAAGGATGTTGCTTTAAAGATATTGCAAAACCAGGTGGCTACAGTTCCCATAATCCATTCATCTGCAGAAGATGGTTCATTTCCACAGTTGTTGCATCTTGCTTCACTTTCTGGAATTCTAAAATGTAAGTGTTTTCCAAATTTCTTACATTAAAAATGGAGCTTCCACTGATACTAAGTAATGGGTGTTAGTTTCCAGGTATCTGCAGGTACTTTAGGCATTGTTCCAGCCTGTTGCCTGTGCTTCAACTACCAATTTTTGCAATTCCAGTAGGCACATGGGTCCCAAAAATTGGAGAATCGAATAGAAGGCCATTAGCTATGTTGAGACCTAGTGCTTCTCTTAGCTCAGCGTTAAACTTACTGATTCAAGGTTCACACTCAAACCTTATACTGTAGGATGGTTTTACTTTGGTGATTCAGATAGGTGGCCTTTCCTTATAAGAAGAGGGATTGCTCTCTTGGATAACTAAAGGGTCTTAGAAAAGGTTCTTTCAGAACTGGTCTTCTTTTTGGCCATCCAGCAGTCCGATCTAGTGCTATAAAATGATAAAGTCCCTATCATAAAGTGGGAAAAGTCGTGTAATTGTTTTGGATTTTAAAACTTCAATGACAAATGGGGAGATTGTAATTTGACATTGTCCTGCTTGTTTGATCAAGTTCTTGTTAACTATCTTTATGTCTGGTACATTGGCATATTTCACATACTCATGGACCACATATTTTTTTTGGATAGTGGTGTGCTTATATTTCCCTGATTGATCTGGTGTGTGGAGAAGGCCATATATAGTCTAATAGCTGGCCTTATGTGGACAGGCTAACTTCACGAATTTATGATGCATCCATACTTCCACTCTGTTTTTTGGGGACGTGATGTTGCATTTGAAGTTATGATGTATGTTTTATGATTATTTTATTGATTTCATTTGACATTGCATTCTGCAACTTGCAGCTCAAGTTAGTTCAATACCCATAGTTGACGACAACGATTCATTGCTGGATGTATATTGTCGAAGGTTATTTGTTGCCACATCTTTGTTTAGTCATCTTAAAATTTTTAATCAGGTTTATTTGAATGAAAATATATATTATAATATCATTACTATTTTTTTTACAGCGATATAACAGCTCTTGCAAAGGATAGAGCTTACACACACATCAATCTTGATGAAATGACCATTCATCAGGTAACTTGTTCCCACATTCCCTAGTATCTCATTTTAATACAAATCAGTAATATCTAGAGATGTGAGTTGGCTCTCTTCCTCGTCTGTTTGTTATTTGTGGGGTTGTACACGGCATAGAGGAGGGTTTTAATATATTTTAAAACTCCATTGGCTGTATTCTGGGGGGTTTCCTCTTCCTTCTGTTGTTTGTACCAATAACTTGATTTTCTACCATCATTTCTTTTTCAAATAAACAAACGGAGAAATTTCAATGGTTGTAGATGGAATGTAAATTAATGAAACCGATGCAATTTCAATGGTTGTAGATGGCATCGATGATAATGGGAAATCTTGGGGTGAAATTTCAATGATAGGAAAGGCTTGATTACAAGCTAATCATTGTTAAAAAGCCCATCTCATGCCATTGCAATTTTTTCCTAGCCCACTCATCATCTGTTATTTATGCAGTCCATCGATGAATGCACGCCATATGTGCACTCAATATTGAAAATTTTCCATCGTTTTTGTATCTGGTTCCTCCCAGGCATTGCAACTTGGACAAGATTCTTTTTCCCTTTATGAGCCACGGAGTCAACGATGTCAGATGTGTTTGCATTCCGACTCGTTGCATAAAGTGATGGATCGCTTGGCTAACCCAGGTTAGACAATCATCATGTCTTCATGATGAGATTAATTAATTACAGAGATCATTATCTTTTGTGTATGGGTAATTGAACTTTGAAGCAATCCCTCTTCCTAAATGAACTTTCAGGTGTTCGACGGCTTGTAATTGTGGAAGCTGGCAGCAAACGGGTAGAAGGGATAATTTCACTAAGCGACATATTCAAGTTCTTGCTTGGTTAAGTTAGTTCGTAAAAAAGGATCCAGAGGGGTTTGTGCAAAAGAAGATGCATAGAGGAAGGTTGTACACTATCATCTGCATAGGTTGCTAGTGATGGGGAAGGAGACTTTGAGTTCTTCATTTGGTTGGATTTATCCTCTCACTTCCATCGCCTGGCTTTTGAAGGATTTTAGGGCGGAGTGGAGAAAAAGAGAGGGCCACAGTAAAAAGATTAAAAAAAAAAAAAAAAGTAAAAAAAGTACAATTGGGAGGGATTTGAATAGCTTTCGAATTTCTCAAACTCCCCCTTTTCCATTTATCATTATTTATCAGTTTATTATGCTCTCTCCCATTCCTGCTACTAATGTAGATTATTGGGAGATGATGATGATGATGGGGATTGTTACCAAGCTCTGTTCTTTCATGCGTGAAAAAAGGGAGCATTGTGCAGAGAGGGGAATTGGGAAGAAGGAGGGGAGGGGGCGGGAATTCTGTGCTTTTTATTAACACGTCGTTGACTTTTGTATTTAATTTTTTTTTCCCTTTTCCTTTTGGATTGAAAATCTTATTGTAATCTTGAAATTAAAGAGAGCTAAGGCAATTGACTCGTAGCAGCACCCCCATTAAACAAGTGAATGGCCAACTCATTTTATTTCTTCTCTTTTCCTTCCTTTTGTTTGCGGATCAAATCAATAGTGAGGCATAAGGCCTTATTTAAAGCCCTCCAGATATTGCAAATGCTCGTAGCATTCTCTTTAAGTTGCTCCCTTTTTTACCTATAAAAAAACTTGCGGTATTTTCACTTGAATGGTAGAAGTCATCGAAGAAGTCATACAGAGTTTATAATAGGTAGGCCTCTTGTATTTTTTACACCTTCCCAATTTTCCCGCAATCCATAATAAGGTGTAATTTTTCTGAGTTCAACATGTGAGTAGAAAGGATTCTGAGTCTCTAATCAATTGATGAAAATATATGATGTAACTGAGCATGGTCGATATGCATGCATTTTTCATAAGAAATAAAATAATACCCACAAACATTTGTAGAACACAATAATACGTGAAATCCAACATCGGTTGGAGAAGGGAACGAAACATTTTTTATAAGGGTGTAGAATTCTCGATGCGTTTTAAAACCGTGAGGTCGACAACGATATGTAATGGCCCAAAGCGGATAATATCTACTAGTGGGGGTCTTGGGCGGTTAAAAATTATATCAGAGCTAGACACTGAATGATGAGCCCAAAAGGAGTGGGTTATAAGATCCCACATCTATGGGAGAGGGGAATGAAACATCATTCCTTACAAGGGTGTAGAAATCTCTTCCTAATAGATACGTTTTAAAATCATGAGACTAACAACGATACGTAATAGGTAAAAGCAGACAATATCTACCTACGAGGGTGGTTTTATTGTTTGCCATCAAACAATATTTGGGGGTGAGAGTGCCAGAGTTCCTAATTGACAGAATTAGATACATTCAATAATTGCTTCAATTCAAACCATTTTCAAACAGAGATCCTTTCCCATCAGAGTCTCACCCTCTCACAAGGAAATTGACAGACAATTTTGATGGATGGGGCCTTCAAAAGTTGCATCATTGTTTCCACCAAAATTCAACAGCAGAATACTACCAGCAATTACACTACCAGAACAACATCTACGTTTTATAGCTCTTCAACTCCCTTGAAGGTTACTTGGATTTTGTGTCGTCAATTTCTCTTAATCCAACAAGAACCTATTGCTTTGATGGACTTTTTTGAAATGAATCTTGGCTTTCTCAAATGTACAATAACCTTGCAAAATTGCAACAATGTGAGATCCTACGTTGGTTGGGGTAGGGAACAAAATATTCCTTATAAAATATGGAAACTTCTCCCTAATAAATGAATCTAATGGCGATATGCAACGAGCAAAAGCAAACAATATCTGCTAGTGATGGGCTTGGGCTGTTACACATTCCGGTCTTTCTAAATACCCCTAAGTTTTACTGTGAGGTCTGGGAATTCTATAGCTATTGGGTAACCAATAATTGACATTTCTGCCAATCCTTCAGCAAATCAACAGACTCTTATAAATCACGGCAGAGCTTAATGTTAATCTAATGTTTATGAGCAATCAAGAATCAGTCTTTTGCAGCAAAAACTTGTAATGAAACAGAGTAAATAATCAGTCAAGATATTCAGGCATTGCATTTCATGCAGTTTAAGTTAGCAAAATTAGTGCAATAAAAGAAAGCTGAACTTGGAACTCACAGTATAAAGTGAATGCCTCAAATTTCATAATCGATTAATCCCACCATCCACATTTATACGATACAGCTTCGATAGCTGAGGAGCCTCTTTCAGATGAGGACGAACAAACTTCTGCAAGAACTGAGTTTCAGTGTACATATATGGTTTTACCAACATGGTTTTTTTCGTAGTCAAACCTTTCTGAAACAGAAACAGAAGAACTGAAGCTCTTGGAATTGTTCTCTTTTTTAAGCTAAATGAAAGCAGCACAGGACTCCTGACAATCGCTGCAGTTTCCCAGCCTAATTTCTTGACAAAGAAATCCATTGCCAACATAATTTTTTCCTCTGATAATGTCATACACCATGGATGGCTCCTAAATGCAGCAAGAATCTCTTCTTCAGATAAACCCCACCTCTTGTAAATACCAAGCTTCCGTACCCATGTCGATTTGCTCATTCCTCGTATAGCATGAACAGCTTGAATAAAGCTAGATTTCGATGGATCAAACCCCATTTTCTTCACATCTTCCAAAATCTCCCTAAACCTGTCTAGAGCCATAGTGAACATTCTCGGCTGGTAAAAAAGAAAATACATAACATGCGCCTCAGGCACGCCGGCGTCGAGCAACATTCTAACAGATCCGCTCAAATGTTTTTGGCGAATATCCGCAATGATACTCGGAAAGCGTTTGATTGATGCGATAGTTCGCTCATTAGATCCAAGATAACCTTTCAAAAGATCAAAAGCAGGAACCAGATGTTCATCAACGCTTCTCATCAAGATTTTCGGAGCCTTGGAAATAATCTTCGTGACTTCGGAACTCGAAGCACCTCTGGTGTAAAGAAACTCAAGCCTAGGCAAAAGAGCTCCATTCGGATTTGATAGAAGAATCCGAGGGTATTTCCCGATAATGAACGAGATATGAGCAATAGAAAAGCCGTGATTCTTGAAGAAAGAGATCACCAAATCTGGTTTTTCAGGAGAAATGAAGCTAACGAGCTTTGAAGCAGATGAAGCAGATTCAGGAGACAACGAGCATGAGTTTATGAGATACGAAACCGTAAAAGAATGTGAATCGGAAGAGACAGTGCTGTAGTTGAAGTGGAGTGATTGAACACAGCGGAGCTTTGGATATGGCGAAATCGTGGTAAGATGCCGAACCTGAAGTAGGGTTTTGCAGAGAAAATTAGACATTGAAGCCGAATTTTGAAGAACAATGAGATGATCTCGCCCGGCCTCGCTCAAGGAAAAGAGTGAATTGGACTAGGGTTTATCCAAATTTCAAATTAGCTTCATCTTTCATGAAATGCTGATTTTTGCGAAATTTCTTATACCCCATTTTTATTTTGTTATAATTTACGTATATAAATTCAATACATGATCTTAAGCGCAATTAACATTTTAAAAGGAGATGATTTGATATCATATCTCGAAATTGTGGAACTTAAAAAAAGAAAAAGAGAAAAAAAAAGAAAAAGAAAAAGAAAAACTCTCTTTTAACTCGTTCTCCTCTACACCTAAACTTCCTCCATTTCAAATTACACAATACCTACTTATTAATGCTCTAAATGTTCGAATAAATACATCAGCCACAAAACGGCAATGGAAGTAATAATAGAAAGTAATCAAGCATCAAGTCCATTACACTTGGAGCTGTCCACAGGTGAGGCAAGGACGGGGAAGGCTCAATCAGCAATGAGTCAATTACATACACTATTTAACGAGACGATTTGGGTGCAAAAGAAATAAAACGTACGAATACTAAAAACCCAATACTATCTTCAGAGCCTTATGTGGTGGCGTGCAGGCCACATAATCTCTGTTTCCAAGTGTCTTTCTTCCAGGTCAGGCTAGAAAAACGACCCCGATCGAGCAACGACCCCAATCCATTCGTTGTTGGGGAGACCATCCCACAACCAAACCAGAGAGAAGATCATTATAAAATGTATCCTAAAACAGTCTTCTCCCAAATGATTTGCAGGTCGAATGGAAATCATTGAGAAATCAATGTAAGCGACGTGTGGGAAAAGATGCACCAAACTAACACACCCGAACTGCAGATCGTGTTTATAATCTTCGGCAGCAGAAGATATCTTAGTTCTTTCATCTAGGATAACGTAAGAATAAGAAATTGCACCCATGCCACGATTCTTGTCCCTTGCTATAACATTTACTTCATATGAATGTCAATTCATTTCAAGTATAACCAGCTACCCACAGGAGAGAGAGTCATGAGTATAACATACCTCTTCAAACAGAATCTTCGCTACAACTAATCCATGGTTCTATATTCAACCACAGAATCATACTCTTCCATGCGTAATGAACTTCCTGCAAAACATCTGAGAGGGAAACTTTCTAAATAAAAATGGCAGTAGAAAAATGATTGAGCATAAAAGATGCAGTTTTGCATTGTGATAAAGAAACAAACACTACTCACGGGAGCTTTATGATAGAGCGAACCAGTCGGAATTATGTTAGGAAGACCATTGGGAAAAAGTAATAAATGTTATTCGGATACCAAGGGCATAATAGTCATTAGCTAGAAGTTTCTTTGGTTGTAAAGGAACTCGTGATATTTTAATTTCTTAGGTAGGTGGCCATCATAAGTTTTGTTAGTAGGAGGGGATGAAGGCGAGCAATAATTTAGTTGTTTGTGCTCGAGTACACCCAAGAGGGAGGGGTCCAAGATTCTCAAAATACTCGACATTCTTCTGTATTTTCTTATTTGGCAAGTCATCAATATAATTCGGAATTTCATTTCTCTGAATTCTATCAAAATCCATTCCTGCATTTTCTACAAATGGGACAAGGGAACCAAAAAATATTGAGTAATATGGAAAATTTACTTGAAATCATCTGGGTTTCAGCTGGCAGAGACAATGGTCATGCAATTCCTGGGCGGAAATTCTCGGGTATTAATATCCAAGGATAGTCTTGGGCGTTGCTTGAAAGGAGATGGGATTAGTTATATTATTGCATTCGAGCTAGAGGCATTTGGAACAAATGGGATAAGAGCACCAAAAAAGATTGAGAGTAATATGGAAAATTTACTTCAAATCAACTGGTCTTGCAATGGTCTTGCAATTCCTGGTCGCCAGTTCTCTAGCGGTGAACAACACTCTCAATAAATCCTACTTCTGTGAGTGGGCTACCAGAACTCAATACTCAAGAAATCTTACATTCATTTCAAAATTTCGATGCATCAGGGAAAAAACACGAGAACTTGAAATATTGAACAGTGAGTAAAGTACCTTAATTCATGCCAAAACAAATCAGTTTTTTCATAGAGGAACGGCCGCAAAGGCGAAAGGAAGTCATTTTCAGCATTAAGCTGTGAGGAAGGAGCTTCAAGTCTTGCCACAAATAGTGAGGTAACCAGATGAACAATTATAGTTGGATCTGGGTCCCCAAGGATGGCCTCCAACTCTCTTTGTATCCATGGTTTAATCCTTTCTAGTATTGCTTCTTTGACTCCATGACTTCCTGTTAAGTTCTGCACGACACGCAGTCACGCACACAGAATAAGAACTAAACTGACAGAATTGCACTTGTACCCAATGACGAATTTGCACCTTCGTCGTACGCAACCGAAGAGAGAAAATTATTAATTATTTACATAATCGACAAGTTGAGTATAACTCAAGTGGTTAAGATTTTATATCTCAACTGAAAGGCTAGAGTTTCGAATTCTCACTGACACGAAAAACTAAAGAGAAAGTTCGGCAATGTATTTGGTTGAAAAAAAGTGCCCCAATTCAATTTCGAAGCAAGGGATTAGCTCCATGAGCCGTATGAGAGGTAATAAACTTCAAGTTAAAAGAGGAAAGAATCAGTTTATCAACTCCTACCAGCAACCAGACTTCATATAAAATCATCAGATAACTCGTAGTTAAGGATTAAAATGCATACCATTACTAAACATGATCTGACCGAAGATGGGACAGCTTGTATACGTCGGTCGTATATGCTGTGTCAGATCATAACCCAACGGAATATTAGCAACAACATTCAAGCTCTAACTCTAAACATGGACAACAAGGTGAAAGCTGTAGCTGTAGCATCCAACCAGGTAAATAAACCTAGAAGTTACCTTGCTCGCCATTGAAGTTTTCGCCAGGCAATAACATCAGTAGGTACAGATTCCGGCCCTCGCCGGCCAAATGAACGCCGCCATGTCAGTGGTCTCTCCGACCGTCTATCTCTGCTCAATTCATTCCTTGTGCTCTGAAGAATCCTAGATAAAAGTGAGGGGAACAAATATAATTCCAAGTTTAATGATCAAATCAGTCCTCGATTAAAACTAACTACAGCACTCAGTTCTCCGTATTAGCTTATATGTTCAATTCAAGCAGAAGTGATCAATTTTAAAACAAAATTAGCTGCCATACAGACATATCAGAGTTACAGAAACACACATACACACACACCTGCGAGCGTCGGTCCGGGATGATCCGATTCCAATCTTGAGATTGTCGGCACAATTCAAGTTTGGCAATCTTTCTTTCCGGAAGCTTCGCGATGAGAGATTGATTTTGCAGAACCATGAATCGAATTGAGCGTTACAGAGAGGGCAGGTTCGCTTCAAATTGCTCCATTTGCGAATACACCCTACGCAATAGGCGTGGATACACGTTGTAAGCACGGCGGCGGTACGATCCTCCAATTCTCGGAGACAAATTGGGCAGGTTTGTCCGCAGATTGCCGGCGAAATTACCTTCACTACGAAGTTTTCGCCGTTAAGCTTTCGCGCCGGTTCACCGGTCGAATGCTTCATGATTTTCCCCTCCAGCATACTGTGCCAGGTGGGAGAGACAGACTATCAAGGCTCAAAGCTATCACGAATTATTGGGCCGTATTTGGGCCTCCATTCAAATGTATTTTTAGCCCAGCCCAAACCCTCTAACTGAACCGATTAGGGCCTATGGGCCCAAAACGTATAGTGGTCACCATCGTGATTTATAGACCCAAAGTGGTCACCATCGTTGGACAAGTTTTTTTGGGCCTCATAGGGGTTGAGCCCAAAGCGGTGACTATTGATGCTTGTTGGGCCTACTCCTTGGGCCATTTCCTAACTTAATATCCGCTCTGTTCATAAGGCCCAAGTTTAGAGGCCCAAATCAGTCACCAACGTTGGATCAGATTTTTGGGCCTCCTTGTCTACAATTTTGGGCCTCATTGCAAACTTTGGGCATCTTTTCTCAGGCCCATGGTTTATAGGCCTAAAGCTGTCACAATCGTTAGACCAGATTTTTGAGTCTTCTCGGGGTTAAGCTCAAAGCGGTGACTATAAATGCTTATTGGGCCTACTCCTTAGGCCTCTTTTCTAACTTAATAGTTAATATCGGCTCTGTTCACAAGGCCCAATGTTTATAGGCCCAAAGCAGACAACTGTTGGATCAGATTTTTAGGCCTTCTTGTAGACGTAATTTGGGTCTCTTTCCTAACTTTGGGCCTAGAACTCTAGGGCCTTAGAAAAAGGCCCAAATTACGTCGACAAGAAGGCCCAAAAATCTGGTCCAACGGTAGTGACTGCTTTGGGCCTACTCCTTGGGCCTCTTTTCTAAATATCGGCTCTGTTCAGAAGGCCCAAGGTTTATAGGCCCAAATCAGTCACGACAGTTGGACCAGATTTTTGGGCCTTCTTGTCGACGTAATTTGGGCCATTAACTAAGGCCCTAGAGATCTAGGCCCAAATCCGTCACAATTGTTTGACCAGTTTTTGGGCCTTCTCGGGGTTGAGCCCAAAGTTGAGGCATAAATGCTTATTGGGCCTTCTTATTGGGCCTTCTAACTTAATTTCGGCTCTGTTCAGAAGGCCCATTGTTTATCGGCCCAAAGCAGTTACGACCGTTGGACCAGTTTTTTGGGCTTTCTTGACGACGTAATTTGAGCCTCTTTTCTAACTTTGGGCCTATTTTCTAAGGCCCGAGATTTACAGGGCCAAATCGGTCACATTTGTTGGACCAGTTTTTTGGGCCTTCTCGAGGTTGAGCCCAAAGCGGTGCTTATAACTGCTTGTTGGGCCTTCTCCTTGCGCCTCTTTCCGAACTTAATATCGGCTATGTTCAGAAGGCCCATTTTTTTAGGCCCAAAGCAGTCACGACCGTTGGATTAAAATTTTGGGCCTTCTTGTAGACGTAAGTTGGGCCTCTTTTCTAAGACCCGTGATTTATAGGCTCAAAGCGGTCAGATTTGTTGGACTAGTGTTTTTGGCCTTCTCGGGGTTGAGGCCGAACCGGTGGCTATAAGTGCGAGTTGGGCCTTCTTCTTGGGCCTCTTTCC